AATTAAAGATATTATTCCTATTTAGAAGTAATAATTAGATGTTATTGAGAAGGGGAAATGATTTGTCATATCAGGCAAGTTTTTGCCTTAAATCTTTCTTGTTAAAGAAATAATCTTTTAATTCAAAAGTTTTGATACTGGATATGTTGGATCTTTAATCAGAGACTTTATATAGAAGTGAGGTTCTTGGATATACTTCTTTTTGCATGATATTGTGAACTGCATCATTTATCTGTATTGCAGTATATTTCTAAGYAAAAATTMATTATCATATTTTGGTGTTTATCACCCTGCATTTGCAAGGAAGGGATTTTCTCACTAGACCCGTATGGTCTAACCCTCATTTTCTGTTTTAAATTATGCAATGCAGGAATAGCTGGGYCCGGGGAYATTAAAGGGAAAGGGAAAATGTGATTATTTTCCTAATCTGTTTCCTGCTTTTGAAGATACATGTTATATTACATGTAGTAGTACAGGATTTTTTTTTTGGAAATTTTATATGTAGATTTTGTACATATAGTAATCCTTGTACTAGTGGGACCTTTTGATGTAATCCATGTTTCTATGTAATGAAATATGTGTTCTATGCAAATTTGGTGTTTGGGGGTGTTACACCAAATCGGTCCCAAACTTTTTATATTCCAAAAATCAATGTTTAACATATAAAAGATCATGTTTGAAGATATTTTTTAGACAACATCTTATTGAAATACACTTTAAACCGGAACGGTCCTCGGATCAGACTTAGGACAATCTCGATGGGATCAAGACTGGGTGTTGATCCTCTCTCTCAGTGATTTGATGATAACTCTTTTCACGTATACGAAGTATTTATGTTTCTGTCTTTTCAGTTCAAGAGATCTTCACTAAACCTGTTCAGTGATCGCTGAAGAACTTGTATTGTAAATCAATCAGCGACAGTGATACTTCAAGAAGACAACACTCACACCAAAGAACCTTCAGCCAAAGTCGAAGACTGAAACTGAAGATTAGAGACTGGTGAGTACGTGATTTGAAGCGGTACTCGGTGATTACAAGTCTGTCTACATATGTGTGAAGACTGCTCAAGCCTCAGCGAATGCTGAAAAGACCTCCAGGTTATTCCAGCATTCAGCGATCAAAGAAAGCTTGCCAAGCACGATTGTTGTTGTCTTGTCCTTATACACACAAAGACAAACCCATACCCTTTCTAAATGTTAGTACGGTACGGAGTCGACTAGTTGACTCTATTACTCACTAACTTTAGATAAGGATGTTTGCTCATAAATATGTTTTTTGTACTATTCACTATAGCAGAGGACAAGCCTTCCCCTTAAGTCTTGACACGCACTCTAACCCTACCATATTGCATTAAATGTGCATTTAATACAATGGGTATAAATAGAAGTGTTTCTTCTCCATGCAGAGTGCACGTGCAACACACTCTCTTAACCTAATTCTTACTTTGAGCATTCTTGAGCTTAAGTAAAAGAACTTTCCTCTACAACATATATTTTCTTCTTTGCTAAGATTCTGCGTGTAACCAAAGATTGTTTAGATAGGTTTTTCTTACCTTATCTTTTCGCAAACAATCTTCTAAAATTTGTATTGATCTTATCTTATCAATATACATTTTAAATTTAAAAATACTGTATTTGTATTCATCCCCCCCCCCCTACAAACTATTATACATATTTTGTAGACCCTTACGAGACCAACACTAGGACTGGTTACCGTGCCTAGATTGGTCCTAGGATTTTTGGTCGATACAGAGAACGAGCCCAGGACTGGGACCGACCGGCCCGATTTTGAAGGGACCAACCCATGACCGATCTTTGGCCATCTCTAGTCACTAGACCTTAGCTTTTTCGGACCAAGCTAGGGGTAGACCAGGGTTGGACTTTAGGCTACGACTTTTTTGCACATCTCTACTCTATGGTAATCTTGTTTCTCACCATATCAACATTAGGAATAATTAATGTTGACAATCAATTAAGATTGATCCAAATGTGGAGATATCTTTTTACATTTCTCACTTTAACTTCTCTTCTCACCGGAACCCAACTCTATCTACACATACACAAACCTAAACTCTAACCTCCTCCACGTTGCCCCATCCATCATCTTTGACCTTCAAAACCGATGCCTCACCCTCTTAATCCATTTCCCGGATGATTAGTTGGGATTTAACGTAGACCCAAATGAATTACAACTGTAGATAAACCTAGAGATGGTAAAAAACCGGTCCTACACCAGGCCCAAATTGGTCCTATTTCAAGATTTTTCAATTTGTAACCGGTCCTAGGCTGGCCCAAATCGGTCCCAAACTTTTTATATTCCAAAAATCAATGTTTAACATATAAAAGATCATGTTTGAAGATATTTTTTTAGATAACATCTTATAGAAATACACTTTAAACCGGAACGGGCCTCAGATCAGACTTAGGACAGTCTCGATGGGATCAAGACTGGGACTAGTTACCGTGCCTAGATTGGTCCTAGGATTTTTGGTCGGTACAGAGAACGAGACCAGGACTAGGACAGACCAACCCGATTTTGAAGGGACACATGACCTATCTTTGGCCATCTCTAGTCACTAGGCCTTAGCTTTTTTGGACCAAGCTAGGGGTAGACCAGGGTTGGACTTTAGGCTACGACTTTTTTGCACATCTCTACTCTATGGTAATCTTGTTCCTCACCATATCATTAACATTAGGAATAATTAAGGTTCAGTGTGGCAGCAAGGTCAAGCTTCATGCCTTACATGTCACGATAAGGACACAACGTTTTTCAAAGCGTGACATAAGGCGACAAATTTGTATAAAATTAGACATATAAATATATTTTTTCTATATATTATTTAACCGAATAATGATATTATAAAATTTACAATCATATTAGAGAAAGAAAAATCAAATAGATTATTATTAGAAAACTTGTCTTTGATTAAATATTCAAAATAAAAACTTAAAAGAGTAATTTTACAATTTCGTTTTAGTTAAATTCGTAAAACTGTGAATGATATGATTAGATAGATCTATAAATGTGTAAAAACACAAACACTAAAAATTCTAAATAATTAAAAAACAAAAAAATAATTTATTTTTGCAAAAAATCACGCCTTAAAAAAAACTCATGTCGCAGCGTGCCGTGTGACATGAGCCACGTCTTACAAAAACGCTATAGACCTTTTTCATAATGGTGGAGACGCGTCTTACGCTATCCGTCATGTTGCTTTTTTGAACACTAAAAATAATTATGTGATTTATAATCATTTTTCATTGACGAAAAAGAAAATGGAAGTAGTTGATATAACATCGCCATCCAACCACCACCTACTGTCGATATAGTATTTTTACTGTGCAATTGCCCTTTATTTTTCCAGTACCTCGCTCTTTAGTAAAAATCGTTATCCACCATGTCAGTAAATTAGGAATGATTCAAAAAAAATATCGACCATTTTTTTACGAATAAATAACGCAAATGAAAGTGTTTTAATGTAACATTGACATTTAACTGCTAACCATTGTGTATATAATAGTGAGCGATAGCCCTTTTTCCTCATCGCTAACTATCTGGTGGTAATCTTGTTCCCATCATATCAGTAATATCATGAATGATTTTATGATCGTTTTTCATGAACTAATAAAAATGATAGTAGTTAATATAACATCAACATATCAGTGATCGATCACTTTTTTTTCTTATCCCTCATTCTCTGGTAATCTTGGTCACTGTCATCCAGTATGTTAGTAATATTAAGAATGTACTAGAAGCATACTCGCGCAATGCAACGCATGTTCATCATCTTTCGTATGTTCATATGGTCACACATGTTCATCATCTTTCGTATGTTCATTTGGATCAATATGTGTTTAGTTTTCGTAATTGACACAAGTGTTCATATATGTCAATTTGTGTTCGTAATTGACACAATGTTCATATATGTCGAGTTGTGTTTATATAGTTGTACGAATGTTTTCATATGTGAATTTCTGTTCATATGGTCACACATGTTTATCCTCTTTCGTATATGTCAATTTGAACGATACCGAAAATTTTACTACCGGGTTTTCTCCACCAATCACAAATTCATAAACATTAGAGATATAAAATCAATATTAAAAAAATAACAAGATTAATAATAAGTTAACACAAATCATGGGATTTTATGGTTTTGTAACTCTCAATTAATAATATAGAAGTTACAAAAAAAAATACATATGTACCCTTATCATTAAATTCTAAATTGGATAGGAACATAATACTAAGATGGATTGTGATTGGTTGAAAATGACCAACAAAGTTAACACAATAGTTTGAGTTAACATTTGAAACAAACGCCCGCGCACACACACACGCACTCTCTCTCTCTCTCTCTATATATATATATATATATATATGTATAACTACTTTTATTAGATTTAATAATAATAAAGTAATTGGATATTTGTTTTTTTTCTTTTATCAGGAAAATGACGAGAGATAAAGTAAAAAAAGACAAAAATATCGCTATACTTAATAGGGCTAATTATATCTGTTGACAGTTAGCATAAGGATTTAAAACGTGCATTTTTACAAACCACATATACCAAAAATGTAATAAATACGTTATAGAAATATTAATGAAACAAACCTTAAATCATAGGAAGCAATATAATTTAGGTGGCGTTTGTTTTTTAAGAGGTGCTGAAGTCTGAAGTCTGATTTCACTTCTGATTTTTAAGAGGTGGTGCTGAAGTTTGAAATCTGAATTAATAAGACTGTTTGTTTTTACGTCTGAAGTCTGGTTCCATTAATTATGCGTCATTCTACGATGATTCTTAAAAAACTCAAACAAAAAGAAAACATATAAACAATCAACTACTTAAAAAACCCAAATCCAAGAACAATTCTTATATGTTTTGAACACAGACTCATGCTTCCTGTCGTGGGTTCTCAGAGAGATCGAGAGGTAGAAGACCGAGAGTGAAATCGAGATGCCTTTCTTGAGATATCGAGAGGAAGAAGAAGAGATCGAGATCCGGAGCTTGAGGTGTTTTAGATCGAGATTGAAATCGAGAGCTGAGATGACGGTTTTTTGTTACGACGGTGGTTGTGGTGGTTGAAAGGATGATGGCTTTGGATGCGTCGGCTTCAGCGATTGTTGATTGACGTTTAATTTCTTCTGGGAGGGTTGTTGCACAATCAACAGATGCGAATGAGGAAAGTTTTCGGATTTTCTGAGGACGAATAGGGATTTTGGAAGGGTTTGTTTGGGGAATTCGGGAGCGATCGGAATTAGAAGATGGGTCGTCGGTTGATGGAAGTGGAGACGGCGGCGGTGGCGATGGTGATGGTTGAGAAAGAGGGGGCGGTGGCGGTGTTGGTTCAGCCATGAAAGGATGGGTGCTGCAATTGGGAGTCGGGTATACGACGGTGTTGATGGCTGAGGACGGCGGCGGCAGTGGCGGTGGTGGTGGTTGAAAGAAGGAAAGGAGACGATGGTAGTGAGTGCTGGTAGTGGTGTTGTTCATTGGATATTGGGGGAAGGAGATGAAAGTCCAAAATAAGAGGTTTTCAGACTTTAATTTACATCTGAATAATTCAGACAAATTCAGAGAAATTCAGCTCTTAATTAAAAAAAAAAAAAAACAAACACACTTAATTCCTCAATGTCTGACCGATTCAGACATAAGAGGCAATTAAATGATTTTTTTTTTAAAACAAACAGAGCCTTAGTCTAAGGTGTAGCTATGCCTATAAAGTAAGGGGTACTCTTTTTCAAACTTTCCTAATCTAATTATTTGTTTATTTTTGTTTCTTTATGGTATTATAAAATATTTATTATTTAATTTAATATTTTAATTTAATATTTTCTAGAAATTAATTTTGTAGATATTTTCTTTATTTTTTATAGTTATTTTTAATTTATCTGTGGACAAATTATTATTAAAAAAACATGGTTGCAATTATAAAAATAAAATAAAAAAACTCACAAAACCATTATTTTTTTCACATTCATTAGAAATAATTATAAATAAATCTAAAAATTGTAACTAGGGCTGTAAACGAACCGAACGAACACAAACAGAGACTTGTTCATGTTCGTTCATTTAACTTAAACGAACAAACATGAACAGTAAACGAACGAAAATCTTTGTGTTCATGTTTAATTGCCTTTTACTGTGCAATTGCCTTTTATTTTTCTCGACATCCAACCACCACCTACTGTCGATATAGGACTTTTACTGTGCAATTGCCTTTTATTTTTCTCGTACCTCGCTCTTTAGTAAATATCGTTATCCACCATATCAGTAAATTAGCAATGATCCAAAAAAATATCGATCATTCTTTTACGAATAAATAACGCAAATGAAAGTGGTTTAATGTAACATTGACATTTAACTACTAACTACGGCGTATATAATAGTGAGCGATAGCCCTTTTTTCTCATCCCTAACTCTTTGGTGGTAATCTTGTTCCCGTCGTATCAGTAATTATGAGTGCTCATGGGTTGGGTTGATCAGGTTGAAGATATTTGAACAACCCAACCCAATGCTTGCGGTTTGAAAAAATCTTAACCCAAACCAAAGGGATCGAGTTGGTCGGGTTGATATTATGGTACATTAAAATATTCTTCTAACCTTGAATATGTTATTTCTCTACTCATAATTTCCTTTTCATCATCAACTATTTGATACAATTTATCCATATTTCTTACGTATATCACATTCAGTTAACTTTCTCAATCTACATATATATGTTCACATTTACTGAACATATATACAAATGAGTTATATAGAGATGTGAATAGATTGAAAATGTGTGTATATTAAAAGCATACATGATAGTGTAATTGTCTAATGTATGCTCTTCATATACACATATTTTCAATCTATTCATATTTTTATATAACGCATTCATATATATATTCAGTAAATGTGAACATATAATGTAAATTGAGAAAATTAACTGAATATGATACACGTAAGAAGTATGGATAAGTTGTATCAAATGATTGATTACGAAAAAAAAATTATGAGTTGAGAAATAACATATTCTAGATTAGAAGAATATTTTAATGTACCAAAGTATCAACCCGACCAACTCGTACAGGTTGGGTTGGGTTGGGTTGCACTTTGGTTCGGTTGGGTTGGGTTAATATTTTTCAAACCGCAAGCATTGAGTTGGGTTGTTCAAATGTCTTCAACCCGATCAACTCAATCCATGAGCACCCCTAGAGTGAATAATACAATTGGATGTGCTGATTGTCCTTGTATTATTCATTCATTTCAATTTTTGACCTATCTATGCTCATCTTAGTGAATAATATATGAAGTTTTCGGTTTCTCAACCTTTGCATAAGATCTCAACTGAATCCAAAGTGAGATATGTATCAACTTTAATAACAGATGGGATCGAATCACATTGAAAATGCTTTTTCAGATGAGTGACGAAGATGCAGTTTGGTTACTAAAGAAAGCTCTCGATGCTCCGATGGAAGAACAATATTTGTGCAATATCTTGATGCCATTTGCTGCAAGAACCAAAACCTGAATGAAAGATGATCTGTCATACTTGTATGCATTTCTTTGTTTCTTCTTCAGATGAGAGAAGTATTAAGTCATATATGGATAAAGTGGACTATGTGGATTAATCCGTCAATTGAGTGGGAGTGTTTTTCGTAAATGGTAGGAGTTGTTTTTTTAATTGGATGAGACAAGTTTGGAAAAAATTTGGCCTTCTACATAAAGCTTTCCTTATAAGCTTACCAAATAAGGCACTTTATATCATTAAGCTACTAACAAACAGTCATGTATAGCTGATTGAATTAGTCGTGAGTCCCATCAAGCTCATTAACTTATTAACAAACAGACCCTGAAGAAATCCTGTAAGTTTCTACTTCACCATCAACCATTGGGATAAACCCTCTTTCAGGTTGTATAACAAAATTAGTTGTTGGTACCATCTATAACCACTAATGCCTACACAGACCCCATCCTCTTTGATTTTGTTTTACTTCAATGGTGCCATTGAGTTCGTTGTTGGTGATTTAAACTTATATTTTACAACACATTAACCTTATTATATAAATGCATTATCCACTTCTGATTGTATATCTCTTATTGGCAATCGAACAATTTGCAAGGCTCCTATAGGCAATGACATTAAACTGCTATTAAAATGTCATGTATAGCTCACTGAATAAGCTCATTAAGTCTTGTTAGAAAGTGGCTTAATGTTATTATAGAAATGATCCCGTGTCACCTGAATTTGGTAAAAACTTTGCTTTGTCAATTTTATGGAATTAGATGGTTTATATTTCGATTACATTGTTTCCCCTTATGGTTCTCACGGTATATTATAATGTACGCGTTCCAAGTCTGGGTACTTGATCTGATTTCCTTTCAAAGAATATGATTAAGGAGATTGATGTTGCAATTGTGACAACAGAATGATAATTGGGGTAAGGTGTAAATACTTTTTATTGTTTTAACTTTTGGTAGATAGAATACTCATAATTTGTTGTTGGAGGCATCATATGATTCCAATGAAGTATAGCCATGAACCCTGTTAATAACTTGTATGTTGCAACCAAAGGGCATTTGACCTAGTGGTATCTGAGTTTTTGGCCTCCTAGGAGGTCAAGGGTTAATCGTCACCAAATATGAGGAGGGTGTGAGTTTATTAGTTACATTTGCCGTATATAATTATTATATACTTCAAAAATAACTTGTATGTCGTGTATTTTTTATAAAAATGGTTTTTGGTTCTGTAATTCACTGAGTTTATATGTAAATAATGGTTTTGGGTTCATTTGCAGATTTAGTTTTTTTTTACTTAAAGCTTTTCTAGTCAATTACAGATAAATTTTTTAAGTTAAAAATATATAATTAACTAATTTCTAAAAATTTAATATTTATTTATTAAAAAAATTCAAGTACTTGGTTATTCAAAGTTTAAAATTTTATTTATTCTAAAAAATTATAAACTTAATTATTCTTGAGAGTTCAATAAAAATTCTGTACTTTTTCCCAATTTTTGGAAACACACAAAAGATTATTAAAATATATATTTAAAATTATTGTGTAATTATGTTGTCCTTTCATTTCTTACCATGTAACATTTAAAAGATAAATTAAGGGGTCGTTTATTAAACGTTACTCGGGTAAGTGAACACCGAGTCATTTTACTTTACCGGATGAATATGGTAAAGATCAATAATCTTACCCGATAAAAGTGAGACAAGAACCAAGAGTCTTACCCAGTGATGATTTTTACCACGGTAAGCGCTTACCGGGTAAATTGTTGCATACGATACTGTTTTAGTGGACTTAAAATCTTATCTGATAAGTAAATGATAGTGTGAAACTTACTGGTAAGTATTTGTTGGATAAGTGTTTGGTAAACGGTTCCTAAAATTAAGAAATTAAGAAGAAAAGAGTATTTGTAATTTAAATATATAATGCAATTTAATCACGAGAAGAAAATGATCATATAAAAAAACCTAAATTATTTAAAATAAAAAACACGTGGACGGCAGGATTCGAACCTGCGCGGGCAGAGCCCACATGATTTCTAGTCATGCCCGATAACCACTCCGGCACGTCCACTTTGTTGTTTATCTTTGGATATCTAATATATTAAAGGGTTATAAGACAATGATTTATACAATGACATAAACAACCCTAAACTTTTCAATAAATACAATAATGGTCACTGTGGTTTGCATTTTACTATAACAATTGTCCTTAAGACTAACGCTGTTAGTCAAAAGTGTTGTTAGTTGAAACGAATTTCTTCTTTTTAACTCATTTATGGATGTTGTTCATTTGTATATATATATATATACAGGGCCGGTCCTGAGATTTTGGATGCCCACGGCGGAAAGTCAAAAAAATGCCCCTTATATGTGTAAATAAAAACCAAAATAAACTATTTGAAGGGTTTTAGAACTTAGTCAATCAAACAAAAAAATGCCCCTTAAATATAACAAAAATGATGCAATGGGGGGGACATAAACCAAAACCCCGTGTAACAAAAATGGTCCTTCGTGGTTCGTGTTGTGAAATTGCCAAGAAAGTGAAACGATTAAGCAACCTGGACAAATTGATAAAAGAGAAAACATAAGCATCAATCTTAGGCCTTTCACAGCTTCTATACTAATACTAACAGCCCTAAAACAAATTGCCCTATACTAATACTAACCCTCTTCTAAACAGCCCTAAAATTA